TATGGTGAGCGCTGTGAATTGTGTAAGACTGATGAATCACAGACCTGTACCCCTAAAACAATACATTGTATGTTAATAAAAAGAAAAAAAATAGCAAATACCTTATTTGCCTTTTTTTTTTTTTTTTTTTGAGAGTGAGAGTGGGAGAGCACGGGGTGGGGGGGGCCCACTAGAGGGGCAGAGGGAGAAAGAATCCCAAGCTGACTTCATGCCCAGCACTGAGCCTGACGTGGGGCTGCATCACACGACCGTGAGGTATGATCTGAGCCAAAATCAAGAGTTGAACACTTAACTGACTGAGCCACCCAGGCGCCCCTTATTTGCCTTTTTTAAATGTGAAGGAAAAAAAAATCATTGAGGTATAAGATGAATTAAGGTATCAGTTTGGGTTTTTTTAAGATTTTTTTCTTTTTTCTTTATCTATTTGACAGAGAGAGAGAGAGGGAACACAAGCAAGGGGAGTGGGAGAGGGAGAAGCCGGCCTCCTGCAGAGCAGGGAGCCCGATGCGGGGCTCGATCCCAGAACCCTGGGATCATGACCTGAGCCAAAGGCAGACGCTTAACCATCTGAGCCACCCAGGCACCCCTAAGGTATCCGTTTTAATCATACTGGATACATGTCATATAATGTTTTAACTGTAACTAGTTATTAGCAAGGAAGAATAGGAGAAATGAAATCTACTTGTACTTCTTAAAGTTTTGGTTTTTTTTTTTAAGATTTTATTTATTTATTTATTTATTCATGAGAGAGAGAGAGAGAGAAGCAGAGGGAGAAGCAGGCTCCCAAGGAGCAGGGAGCCCGATGCGGGACTCGATCCCAGGACCCTGGGATCATGACCTGTACTTCTTAAAGTTTTGACTGCTTGCTTAGAAGGTTTTATTCCTAGGGGCGCCTGGGTGGCTCATGTGGTAAAGCATCTGACTCTTGATTTCAGCTCAGGTCATAATCTCAGGGTCATGAGATGGAGCCCGAAGTTGGGTTCTGTGCTGGGCATGGAGCCTGCTGCAGATTCTCTCCCTCTGCCCCTCAAACCCCCTCTCTCCCTCTCTTAAAAAAAAAAAAAAAAAGGGTTTTATTCCCTTGTAACAACAATTTATATGAATTTAATTGGTCTTTGAGTGATTCGTTTTGTTTCAGTTCCAATTCTGTCATGTTGCATTGGTTTTTCCAGGAGAACATTTGGAACATGGTATTTGGAAATTTGTTTTGGCTTAGGAGTCCTCAAAGACTAAATCTGATTTATCCTGAAGTCCTGTTCAGCAGATCTACTCCAAAGCAGTTGCTGCTGTCATTTCTTTCTAGTTTGCCTGGACTTCTAATAGAAAGGGAATTAATATTCTTTAGCCTTAACACTTCTTACCTAATCAAGCAATCACTTTTCTAGAGATTAATTTCCAGTCTTCCTGAGTTTTCTTTGCAGTCTAAAAATGTTCTCTATTCGCTTCTAGATATGGCCTCTCTGGCAGTGATGTCCTGGATAATGTAGCATATGCTCGAGGGTTCAACACAGACCACCAGACCCAGCTCCTTTATCAAGCATCAGCCATGATGGTAGAATCTAGGTATGTGCTTAGTGGAAGACACTGAATCTTATATAGGCTATTTGGCCAAATTGATAGTAACTTGAAATAGAAATGGGGAGATTTAAGTTTTAGTTCTTAGTCTGACACTGTTGCATTGTGGTTCAGGTCAAGTCACTGCCATAATCCACTTGAACTTATTGGAAACTTTACACGTTATATAGTGTCTCAGACACGAATGCTGTACAAATATTTTAATAAAACATTTATGTACAAGTGTAACTGAATATGAAAGCTCAAGGTAGTGAGGAAGGGAGAATTTGACACAGGCTCGAAATAGGCTTCATAGATTCCTTGTTCACTGTAGGTATGCACTGCTAATTGTAGACAGTGCCACTGCCCTCTACAGAACGGACTATTCGGGTCGAGGGGAGCTTTCAGCCAGGCAGATGCACTTGGCCAGGTTTCTGCGGATGCTTCTGCGACTTGCTGATGAGGTAAGTTGTGGGATCAGGACAGAGAATGCCTACCTAATTTTCAGGGGCCTTGCTGGGAGGCCAGAACATCAGGGCCTGGTTTCACAGATAGGAAGATATATTAATCATTCATTACTTTGTGGGGAAAGGGGTGGCAGCAGTAAGGTCTTTTGGCCACAAAAAAATGACATTTATCCTTTCTCCATCAGTTTGGTGTAGCAGTGGTAATCACCAACCAGGTGGTAGCCCAAGTGGATGGAGCAGCCATGTTTGCTGCAGATCCTAAAAAACCTATTGGAGGAAATATCATTGCTCATGCTTCAACAACCAGGTAAAGTGATGGGATAGGCGACTTCATCTTGGAATGTCATATTAACTGATGCAGACATGAAGATACATTTCCATTTAAATCCAGTTAAAGCTACCGTTGTATAATTAGACACATTTGCTAAACATAATTGTCATGCTCTAATATTAGTGCATATATTTGCTTTCATTTTATAAAGGAATTAATAGCCCTCAAATTTGCAAGACACTATGAAGGATATGCCTCTCCCTCATTTTTAAAAAATTGTTTCAATGTGGAAAATGTACTAAGGTGGGGGCAGGGTAGGAGTGAATTTCTCCGGGTTGGAAATATCCCTAAGGAATACAGAAAAATTCCCCAAAGTCCTAGGAAGTATATAGGTCTGAAAAAAAAATTAGATCTACCATAAATAAGAAAAATATTTTTAAATTATAACTTTCATCTGGTTGTTTTGTTTTGTTTTGGGTCAGACTGTATCTGAGGAAAGGAAGAGGGGAAACCAGAATCTGCAAAATCTACGACTCTCCCTGTCTTCCTGAAGCTGAAGCTATGTTTGCCATCAATGCAGATGGAGTGGGAGATGCCAAAGACTGAAACATTGGGGTTTTCCCTGTGATAAACCTTAAGTGCTACAGCCTAATGGAGAGGACTGCTCCCTGGGGTTCTTCATAGGCCTCTTCCTGTTGTGACTGCCAGAAAAAGGCTTCCGGAAAAACAGCTATTGTATCAGCTTTTCTGATGGTGTAAACAGGAGACAGGTCAGTAGTCACAAACTGATCTGAAGTGTTTATTCCGTCTGGAGTGTATTAATTTCCATGTGAATTATTTCAGGGGAAGCAATACCTTTCACATAGTGCCTTGACTCAGAACTAACAGCTGTCTACTGGACAATCTTTAGTTCTCTTGCAGACAGAAGCTGGGGAGACTGGATTCTTTATCTGAATAATGTTGAAATGCCTGTGTGGCAAAGAAAGTGGGTCTCCTCATAGGTTCTTTTCTTTCTGCCAGTAAAAGTCTGTCAGTCAGAAGCAGGTTGTTTAGTTTGCCTAAATTATCTTATGTAAGAATTTTTTAGTTAAGGGCTATGGAGCAGGCCTTCTGGACCGCCAGCCCTTCACCATCTACTTGGTTTTTTAACTGCTAAGAGTAACTCAAAATAATTCTGGAATCTTAAGCATTTAGGGGCTCTTTAAGTAGATTTAGTGTGGAGCTGCTAATAAAGTAGTTATTTGTGCTGTTTATAGGAGTTATTCTTGTATAAGCTGAATATTTCAAGATAGGGCCTTTAAAATAACTTTTTGGCACTGGCTGATCAGTTTCTATTGCTTTAAAATTGAAAAATTTTAAAGGGAAGTCATATATTCAGATGATTGAGCTTATTATCCTTCCGTCTAATAGAGATTATTACAAGATGAATATCCCATGACTTTCCAGTGACCTTTGTGAGTCTTATGTTGTAGAGTCCTAATACTTGTCCAGATTATTGTACTTCAGGGGTTTGAGATCCTCCTCTTCTTCAGACTTCTACTCAGGATGGCTTTTAACCAGCTCTTTGAATTTCAGAAGGCCTGTCTGCTAGTCCTGGGAGGAGAGGCACAGAAAATCTCTGCTGTTGCCTGTGTTGATCCTACTGTAGGCAGGGAGATAGATAGGAAGACACAGTCAATTTAATGCAGCTTTGTTTAAAGAATGGAGTACCTCTCCGGTCTTATCTTTCATTTCTATACCACGAAATAAACCTAGGATGGTATAGTAAGCCAGAGTGACAGATTCTGGAATGGAAGCTTGGTTCTTATATAAAAGCATTTCAATCCTTCAGTCCTGTAAACTTATCTCAGTTATTCTTGTAGGTGGGATTTATCAGGTGAGATTAGGCTTTGTGCTGTTGGCCATAAGAATAGCCTAGTTGGGGGGCGTCTGCCTTCGGCTCGGGTCGTGGTCCCGGGGTCGGGCCCCCTGCTCCGCAGGAGACCTGCTTCTCCCTCTCCCACTCCCCCTGCTTGTGTTCCTCTCTCGCTAGCTATCAAGTAGATGAATGGAATCTTTAAAAAAAAAAAAGCCTAGTTGGAATAGGCCTTATTAGGCTAAAATAAGCTCTCACCCTGTATTTTACATGTAACTAAAATTTCCACTGAAAGTAGCTTTAACCCAAGAGCTTAAACTATTTGGTGCTATTTTTCTATTTGTCTGTAGCAGTACGGAAATGTCAAGCAAGAAAGGAGCTGATGGCAAACATAGAGGAATATAGTCAAATTTGGTTTATTTCAGGTTTGTACCAAAATATATTTATTCCAGGCAACTCCTCAGATCACTGTTTCACAGTCTCAGAAGCCTTATGCACTAGTGTCCTTCCAAAAGCTGCCGGGACTCTGGAAGTGAAGTGGTCCAGCCCCTCGGCTCAGGAATAGTTAGAGCTGACATGATAGGTGAGAAGAGGGCAATATCCATGGGCTGCCCTGACCTTTCCTTTTACCCTGATAGACCAGGGTATGGTCTTAGAACTATATAGTTTGGAGTCAAATATTAATAGAAAAGATTAGAGAGTACAAGTTCTGTGTTTTGTTCTTATAGCTCTTTGAAGTTCATCCACCTCACCAGCAGGCTAAAGATAGCCATCAGTGCTATATATATTACTCTTGATTTTTCAAGAATTCATTTAACTATAGCAATCCCGGCCTTAAGGACTTCCCCAATTTCAGATAAAATAAGGGATTAGAATAAATTAACTAGTGGGCAACAGGAAAGAAATTGGGGAATGGTTATGGATACCAGTCAGGACCATCACTTAGATTCCTGATGATCTAAGCAGGGCAGTCTCCCTCAAGTCATGAAGGCCATTGAAATGTGATTATTCTCTTAAAATTACTTCCAATTCTTCCAAGTCCTTCTGGAAAGCTGAATCCTAGGGAAACAAAGACAAGGACTCATTTCCCAAACCACTGATACTTTCCCTGCTGAGCTCTGTTACCACAGTCTTGAACCTACTTTCCCAGAATAGCCTGCAGCCTATGAAATCTGCCTCCTCCCCTAGGTGAGATATATACAAAGGAGTCTATATGCAAAAGCGTAGACTCTGTTGTAGGGAAATAAAACCTCAAGGGAAAATTTTCTTTCCTGAAAAGGTCACATGATTCAATAATGGAACCCAGTATTTCAAAGTATTACCTCATTGGTGACATCCGGCAGCTCCAGGGCTAACTTGATCCATTGTCTAGCTTCAGAGTTTTTTCCTAGTTCTCTGTAGCACTGAGAAGAGATAACAGTGAAAACCACCACCAGGAGACTGAACTTTCAGGACTTCCCATTATTTATCAACATATATAGTTTCATCTACGTTGAAAAAAAACAGGTGAGTTTACCTTGGAAATATATACCCTCCCTGCTTTGGAAAATCCTGGCTGTAATTCTTCAGCCTAGAAAAGGGAAGAAGGCATTTCAGTAAGGGAATTACCAAATTCAAGTCAAGCTGAAGTTTATTAAATAAAGCTTTCCAGTCCTGGTCTGGGGAACTCTATAAGCTCTCCAGGTGGTTCTGATTTTCCCATAGAACAGGCAGGCATAAAATTGCTGCCTACCAGAAATCCCTCCCTTCCTTCCCAATACCTTTAGGAAGCTTTGGAGGGCATCCTGCACAGTGGCACTGAGAGGGCTTTCAAACAAAGCTGTAGCAGTTTTTTTTTCTAACCAGCTCAGGTGAGAGACCTGCCACCGAAAGATCAAAAAGTGTGAATTAAAAGGTGGTTTGTTTTTTTGAGAGAGAGAATCTCAAGCAGATTCCCTGCTGAGCTTGGAGCCTAACATGGGCTCAATCTCATGACCCTGAGATCATGACCTGAGCTGAAACCAAGAGTCGGGAGTTCAACCAACTAAGCCACTCAGGCACCCTGGAATTCAGCTTACCTGATAGCACCACCTGCCAAGGAGAAAGTGAGCCATAGGGTTTTCTGGCTGGAGAGCAATGGCTTTGTCCACATGCTCCTGAGGGGGAAAAAGTAAATTGACATCATAGTTGCTGAAGGAGGAACAAGAAGTCGTAGACACTGTAGGAACATCCTTTGCAAGGAGCAAGGAAAGAGCCGCGAATCTGAACTAGAGCAGCACAAGGGAAGGAAGAGAAGCCTTTCCTCACCTTGAAGCTAAAGCCACTCTGGATGCGCCTCTGGATGCTCTCATGCTCAGCCAGCTGACCACAAAGCACTGCATACCTAAGGGGGAAAGCCGCAGCAAGCTCAAATAGAGCTGAAAATAGCATTTCCATACATACAAAATTCCTCTTTTCACAGATCTGTGGTCCCAATTCATATTCTTTAGGCTCTCAATTCTCCAAAGTATGCTAGGTACAAAAAAGTGGGGTCCACCATAGTAAACTTCTCATACTTAACATTTAGGCAGTGTCTCAGTCCAAGTCTCCACAAATTTCCCCCTATAATGAGTACAGCCACTGGGGGCCGTAAAAACTTAAAAAGCAGATCTCTAAAAATCAGCATCAAAATGTAAGGGACCTAAGTACATTGGTTCTTATCTCCTGAGCAGACACTAAAAAGTCTCATTAGCTTTAGAAGCATACAGGCATGTTCTGGGGAAGCTATACTCCAGGACAAACTGGGATACTCTAGGAAATTCTAATGTTAATTTGGGAACCAATAGAAGCAGAGGAAGAAAGACTTCAGATTTCAGTCCTCTCCACATCCTCCCTCCCAAGGGAACAAAGCCAGCCAGCTTCCCATCTTCTGTCTTCAAAAACAAAGGTCTCACTACCCCATCCCCCCCAGCATTGTTTCTGGAAGCACAGTTGACATTAAATGAGTGTCTAGAGACCCAAGTTGCTTTTTCATATATTCAACACATATCTGGGGGGTGGGGGTGGCATTTGTATCCAATACTTCCAGAGGCTCATTTCCATATTTCCTCCAAAAAGCTGTTCCCCAAGAATAAAGTATGAGACCAGTTTCCATCCTTGGGAGTCCAGGAGCCCCAAGGAAATCCACAGGGAAGTGGCAACAACCTGGCCTCTGAGAAGAGCTCTTGCGGTGACAATTTTAGGACAGAAATATGGAAAGCAAAGGGGAGGTAAGGGAATGTTCACTATGACTCTGAGGTGCTGGAACCAGGCCCTAGGACACAAGTTGGCCTTGACCCATGGAAGTTGGCAGAACTTTGCCTCACAGGAGACAAGAAAAGCAGGGCTGATGTTTTTGTAAGCTAATAAACTAAACTTCCTGGGGGTGACCTCACATTCGCTTTAACTCATGCAAGCCAAGCAAAGAAGCCAAAGTCTACCACCAGCCAGGGATTGCAGTTACGGGGAAAGAAGAGCTTGTGCAGGAGCTACAAATTGTGCCAGCCTCCCTGAAGAACCAAGAACCCACAAATTTTGTAGCGAGGATGACTCAAAAAGCTACGTATTTCTCTAAGCTCCAATAACCACAAAATCTTCGAATTCGCCCTTGCCTCACTTCCAGGGCACCTTCCAAAAAAAACTCCCCTGGGTCCCTGGTTTGGGTTAGGCCCAGCCATATGGTAATAAAGGCTAGAGCTCCCTCTCCTGTTTCCTCTGGCAGAGAAATGGCTCTCTCCCACTGTAACTCATGCTAGCTCTTCCCAGGATCCCCCAGGGTGTTATTACCACTGGTGACAGTCAGCATTCCCATCCCCCTTCTTCAGGGCAGCCTCTGCTTCTTCTTTTCCTGCAGGGACAAAGGTGATCCAGAGTTGACAAGGGCTCCCATGCACACTTCCACATGAGGGGCTATGGCAAGAATGACTACTCTAGCTCTTACCAATCCCTACCCAACCTGGACTTGTTTGCAATAATTTTGAATTTGAGCAGAATGAAAAGCTGCAAATAACTTCTCAGGGATAATTTCTGCTTCACCTCGTTGCTTTCCCTATCTCTGTCATCAGCTGCCCAACTACCTTCTTTTTACAACACCCACCTGATGTGTTTAAAGCTTTTTTTTTTTTTTTTTTTTTTTATTTGACAGAGAGAGACACAGCAAGAGAGGGAACACAAGCAGGGGGAGTGGGAGAGGGAGAAGCAGGCTTCCCGCAGAGCGAGAAGCCCGATGCGGGGCTCAATCCCAGGACCCTGGGATCATGACCTGAGCCGAAGGCAGACGCTTAATGACTGAGCCACCCAGGCGCCCCAAAAGCTTTTTTTTTTTTTTTTAAGACTGTGTGTGAGCAATGGGGGTTGGGAGAGTCTCAAGCAGACTCCATTCTGAGCGCAGAGCCCCATGTGGAGCTTGACCTCACAACCCTGAGATCATGACGTGAGCTGAAACCAAGAGTCCAACACTTAACTGACTGAGCCACCCAGGTGCCCCTCAAAGCATTTTAAATATAAAAAAAACCCAGTGGCAATCAAACTGTCCCCAACAGACCTGACCCTAGAGGGTTGTGGGCATGCTTCAGGGTGTCCAGGAATCCCTCTGAAGTTGTATGGAATTTTAGGTACATGTGTATTTTATTAAGGAGAGGGCCTACCTTGCCTTTTGATCAAATTCTCAAAAGGCTCCATGATCTAAAAACATTAATCACGGCTCTAGGCCAAAACTCATCATGGCAAAATGTCTGACGAGAAATGACATTTAGTTTTCTAGGCACCAAGACTGATAAATCAAGGCTTAAACACATGAAAGCTCTTGACAAGGATCTCCTAGGCTGTCGAGTAGCCTGGAGCCCTCTAGCTGAGGAACATCATGCCTACAATACTGGAGAAAAGCGCACACTGCCAAATGGGATTTCTCCTTCGATTAAAATGGAGAGGGCTCCAAAGGGAATGTGGAGAAGGTGGAGCAAAAGTAATGGGTTGAGGTGACGGGCTGGCTGAAGTGAAAGGTTTCTTCATGCTTAAATGATAGTAATGATGGTATAATGTTGTATATCCAACAAACACATTTTTCAGCTGGCTGATGAGAAACCCCACCCCCACCCTCCCTCCACCCCTTGCAGCTTAACCTCCCCTTTCTAAACAGTGACTGTATGTGGCCCCATCAGTGAGGGACATTGTCTCTTAGCAGATTTTTCTCTGCCCACTTGAAAGCACTATCTTACTAGAAAAATAAGAGCTGACCGTTCTTTCCTGCCAAGCTAGACAGAGGGGTGAAAAGATACCACCTGAGATCCCACAGAATGGCTGCCTCCTTGTGGTCCAACTTTTAGAGAGAGAACAAAATGAAAAGGACCACGAAGGATGGTCCTAAAAAGTCAAATTCTATGAGCAGGGCCTCCAAGGATGCTCCGTTTGTCAGTCAGCAGGAGCAGACTAGTACAGGGGTGCTAAGCTCTGCGGATCAGACCAGAGTACTGACTGGCTGCTCTAACCATCACCCTACCTCCACCTTTAGGTTTCATGCTGGCCGCTGGTACTAATAAGAGATGATCAATGGGGGCGCCTGGGTTAAGCCTCCGACTCTTGATTTTGGCTCAGGTGGTAAGATCAAGCCCTGTGTTGAGACTCCATGCTTGGCTTGGAGTCTGCTTATCCTCCCTCTCTCCTCCCCTCCACCAACCCTCCGGCTCGTGCTCCCTAAAATAAGTAAAATCTTTAAAAAAAAAAGATGATCAACGATCAAAAGGAAAGGAAACGTTCTTGTTGGTACCAAGAGTCTAAATAATCAGCCCCAAAACTAGTTAGAATCCTTACCGGAAATTTAGGAGGGAAGGCAGAAACTTTTGAAAAGAAAGAAGCAAGCAGTAATTAAGCACCTTCTGTTAAAACTTGGAGATTTTTCTGATGATCTGTATCAATAAACATTCAACTCAACTGACCTGTTCTTTCTATAATGACAATTCTACAAATGCTTGAAACAATGACCTTGAGGTATTGTCAGATTTTACATTAGCAAAGATTCGATGTTTCTAAGTGAGGAAGTAGACATACCCACTTTGGATAGTTACCTTTAGGTACCTAACTGAACCACAAGACCCTAGAAGCCCACTGACAGTGCCCGACTTGCGGGGTGTGGCTAGGCAGGACCCATCTTCCCCACAAAACCAGTCATTTTTCAAAGTCCCAGGATTCTCAGTGACATGACAGACAGGGAGGAGCCCTGAGCTTGGCATCATTCATATGCACTCTACCTGCCAGGATGCAGACTTTGGCAACAGAGTTGTTAAGTAGATCCCAAGGACTCCTAAGCTAGTAGTATTCCAAACTGCTGCACACAGGCGCTCACCAAACATACTCTACTGATACTCTTAGAGAACACCTGCCCCACAGGCTCCATAACTCAAACCAGATTCCTAAGCAGCAGCGAAAAAAACCTCTTCAGATAAGAAAGCCCTCTCTTGGGTGCCTGGGCGGCTCAGTCGTTAAGCGTCTGCCTTCGGCTCAGGTCATGATCCCAGGGTCCTGGGATCGAGTCCCGCATCGGGCTCCCTGCTCCTTGGGAGCCTGCTTCTCCCTCTGCCTCTCTCTCTCTGTGTCTCTCATGAATAAATAAATAAAATCTTTAAAAAAAAAAAAAAAAGAAAGCCCTCTCTTGCAGCTGGGGAGTGAGAACAAAGAATTGTGCTAGTATGATACAATTACCCCTAAAAACATTTGCACCTGTATTAATCCCGATGTGCAGGGAAGCGGAGACTGCTGGCTCAAAAAGGAAGCGGAAGTCCCTGGGAACCAGAGTTTGTCCCTAGTGAGTAACTGAGCCACAGCTGCCCTGACAGCCTCTATCTGGGTGGTTCCCCTGAGCCCCAAACAGATGGGCCAGCTCCACCCCCAGAATCAGTCACCTTCCCATCAGGAATCTCAGCACTTACCACTTAGGGCGTATGACTTCTTCTCGCTCACCTCTTCAGTGAGCTCACACATGTCGCTATAGGCCCGGGCCAGGCGCCAGAGAAAGTCCTGCCGGCTTCCATACTGCAGACCAAACAGAGGGAGGGATGAGGCCCCTCTTCTTCAGCCGCAGAGACCTGGGGCTCTGGCCTTCTTCCCAAGCCTAGGTTTGAGTTTCCAAGCTAGTGTGTCTCAAACGGACATGAGGCAGCCTTAGGCACAGCGCTCCACCCCCCCGACTTCCCACCTGCGGTTAGCTAAGTGGTGCCATGTCATCTCCAGCCAGGAGATGCACCAGCCTCCGAGTGAGGGCATGCTGGCCTGATACTGTGAGGAGGAAAGGTCAACTCTAAATGAAATGAGGCACAACGAGAAGCCTTGCTGACACAGTGGAAGATGTGAGAATGCCCAAGAGAAGGAAACATTCTAACTCGGGGGCATTTATACCTGGGTGAGCATAAATTCTGGCAGTGAACCAGAGGAGAAGGGAACTGTGGCCGAGTGACCTCCACACTTGTCACTTGGGATGGAAACTTCAAGTAGGGCAGGCAGCTTGGGCTCTGCCTCAAAGGAAATAAAAGAGGAAAAAAAAATATTCCAGTCCTTTCCACATTGCTCTCCACTGTAAGAGGTAGCGCTCTTTGGCAGTAGCTCTACAGGAGGCAGAGGACTGTGGTGAGAAGGCTCTGGGGCAGGCAGGTCAGCCAGGCCCCGAGGGGCAGTGCGTGGCCTACTTGGAATAGGATGTGCAACCCTGGGGGATCCATGCAGAACCAGCCATCTCACCCTCATTTCCCTTCCTAGGGCATCTTGCAGACTTACAAGTGACAGTGGCCTTCCTCCACTCCCAGGGGGGCTGGGGGCTAGTGAGGGCAGACAGGCAGCTGGGGCCTTACCGCGGGCTTGTTGCCGAGCAGCAGCTGGAAGCCCTCCCGCTTGCCCTGCTCGCTGCCCTGGTGTAGCTCATCCGCCTGCTGCAGGAGGGGCAGCATGTCCTCCAGGCCAGGGGAGCCTCCAGCATCCAGGGCTCCAGCCACGGGGCCCGAAGCCACCTCCGCCTCCAGGTCCGGAGAAGCCTTTCTCCCCATCTTCACAGTCTCACAGCTCACTTCATCTTCCCCGTCATCACTGTCCTTGTCAGAGTCCCGCTCATAGTCAGACTCGGCATTGGCTGTGGTGTAACTGTGGCAGAGAAACAAGTGACAGGGTCAAGGGAGATTATTTAGCCTCAGAGCTCTAGGGTCTGTCTCCCATCCACGAAGAGGGAAGCTTCATGGCGCTGCTGTCCACAGCACCAAGTAAAAACCATTTCTACCACTTAGAGGCAGAAATGAGTGCTTGAGAGAAAGCTTCCTACGGGAACCATGGGCTGGGAAAATGATCCTGGAGGGAAAGTGACCAGCTGGGGGCACTGTGGCAGTCAGGGGCCAATACGAGAACCCCCGGCCGAGCTACCAGGTTGGCCAGATAATCAGAAAAAGAAAAAAGGCTAGAAAGAAGCCGCCTAGAAAGGAATGTAACAAAATGTTGCTAGTAGATCTCATGGTAGAAGAATTAAAGGAAATTTTTCTACTTTATAACATTACATATGATTGCTTTAGTGAACATATGTTCTTTTCGGTAAAAAAGAAAGAAATACTTAAGATAAAAAACCATAATGTAGGTGGAGCTGATCTCCTGAGCTAGATGGCTCACCAGGCTAAGGGTCTGTCAATCATTTTTGCCTTATCAGCCAAAAGCACCGCCAGAAACAACATGGATGGGTGCCAGCCTCCGAGACCACGGGCAGCCCAAATATCTACATTTTCTTTCTCAAGTCAAGGTATACTTCTGTCCTAAGTCAGCAGCCAAACCTAAACCACAACCTTGGAAACCTTAGGAACTTGCTCGGGGTGGGGAAAGGCCACTTCGCAGCCGGAGTCAGAAGAGGAGGAAGATGCAAGCAGAAGGGCCTGGGAAGGTATCTCTGGGGCCGCCACAAGCCAGGGAGGTGTCTCCTTGGAACCCCCTACTTTGATGTGCTCACTGAAGAGGAGGCCACATTTCTCTTGGATCTCGGCCTTCACCAGCAGCTGATGAGGGTGTTCTCCCTAACGGCCAACTGAAGCAGACAAAAATTGAGCAGAGGACAGTGTCAGACTTGCAGGGGCTAGAAGCAGACACCAGAGAAACCTCCAGACCTGAGTGAAGGAAAAGCAGGTTCTGTCAGAGCCAGAAGGTTCTGAAGCACAGGAAGATCTTAGGGTCATTTAGGGATAGGCCTTCCTCCTGGAATGAAAGACAGGGACAGGATACTTACAGCTGGCGCAAAACAGACCTGGAGAGATGAGAAAGGCACCTACAAATAAAGGCAGGACAAGACAGCGTCAAGTCCGGCTGCAAGTGGTAGGCCAGAAATCCAGACCCAACAAGGCGGCGGGCTCCGTCCAGAAGGCACTGAGCATGCAACCAGACCAAGTGCCCAGTCTGTGCCGCTGCTTCACAGAAGAGCTTCCAGACTCATCTAACAAAGGGCCCCAGGAACAGCTACCACAGGAACCTGGAGGGTATCGACCTTAGCTTCACCTTGCTTTTTAAGATGTTATCCAAGTTCTTTCCCCTCTAGCAGTGTGCAGTAGAAACGTGAGAAATTAGAGGGACAAGGGAAAGTGGCATAGGATTTACAACCAACCTGGGTGGTGAGGAACAAGACCACCCAGGGGCAGCCTCGACAGACTCCCAACCAGTTCTGAAGCCTTGGACAAGAACCTGCCCAAATGAGAACATCAAACCAGAGTCTACAGCACCTCTACTCAGCCCAGCCAGACCGAAAGGCAAGACGGGTAAATGGGTTACCTGGGGTAAGGAGCTAGAGTCTCGTATCTCCTATTGCTAGAAAGGAAGGGAGACCCTACTGCCTGCCGAACTCCCTCCAACAAGGAGTTCAAATCCCGAGTCCCCCAGGGAGGGACCCCTGCTCTGACCCCTATAGTGCACAGCATCAGCAGTCTCTCTCCAGGGAGCTCCCATGGCTGAGGAAAAGGGGTGGTCAGGAGGGACTTTGCTGCCACCCGCCGAGTAAGAGCTGGTGGAGCCGGTGAGGCACAGAGGCTCCAGTGAGGCCGAACGGCGAGGAGACCCTTTTTGCACCTCAGCCCCACTCTAGGGAGCTCTGCCTTGCTCATGTGCACCCTGCTGGCTGGCACGCAGTGGGCGGGCAGACACCTGTGGCCTGAGCACAGACATCAGCCCCGTGAGCTTCCGGGCCTTGCACAGCTACATGGGCTGCGTCTCTGTATTCACACTGTGCTTTCACACCCGTCAGACCACCAATCCAGCCCTTGGAGAAATCCACCACAGAGAGGGGGGTCCCTTTTGTTTAACATGCCCTGCGGCTTTTGACATCTGACAGGGACTGGCAGGGACCTTTGAAAAGGCTCTTTGGAGCTGTGCCCTTGGGTGCAACACATTGTTTCCACATACGGTAGAGAACCCATGGCTCCTTCGGAGCAAGGAGGCCAGAGCCACCCTACTCTACCCCTTGAGGAGAGCCCACAAGTCCGTGATCAAGGACTCAGTCACACACATATCCCCTTCTGATGATTAAGTTTCTTTCTTTTGACTCCTCTAAGCCCCATTAAAGGGGCTGAGCTAAAGCATTCAAAGACATCCAGGCATGGGAGACTCAGTGGTGGGGAAGACAAGACCAACCTAAACAAGGTGATAAATGCCCAAGGAGGAGAGGCAATGAGGTTGCAGGCAATCCTTGGCTGGAATGCCTGGGAAGGCTTGCTGGGGGAGTTGGTGTTTTAGGGCAAGCTGGGTTCTGATCGGGAGAGAAGTAAAGCTATGTTTGGTACAATGTTCAGGGAATAAGCTTGTGGACCCACATGGTGACTCTGCCTCTGCCATATTCAGTCGGTTCCCTGGGAGCTCAAAGTTGCTATTTTACTTGGAAAAAAAGGGAATCCAGCGTTAAGTGGAGTAGGCTGTTAAATATGCTTAGCCTTTCATCCCTCAAAGAAGCACTCCTCCTCTGGCCCCACATGTTCAAAGCCATTCCAGAGTTTGTGGTCTCCTCCCAAAATTCCCCCTGGACCTTTTTGGCACTGACCATGACAAAAAGAATTAATTCACCATGGCCACTGCCCCAGACAGTAGCCAGCTAAACTGGAGTCTTGCACCATGTACCACCATCAGCTTCTACATGCCACAGGATCAGTCATGGGCTGAGCCTGCTAGTAATTAAGAAAGCCACCCTTCGTCTCATCCCATCATGGGTTGGCTGATAAGCCTGTCTTTCCCCTTATGGCCTTCAGAGCCCCAGTGAGCACCCCAAGCAGTGAAGCACCCATAAACTTCCCTGGTTAAATCCCCTGGCTCTCACTGTTCCCAGAAGTTTGTACAACTTCTTTCTCTCTTTAAGATTTACTGGAGAGGGAGAAAGAGCGAGCGCATGTGCACAAGCAAGCAGGAGGAGGGGCAAAGGGAGAGGGAGAGAATCTCAAGCAGACTCCCCACTGAACACGGAGCCCAACCCGGGGCTCAATCCCACCACCCTGAGATCATGACCTGAGCCAAAATCAAGAATCAGTTGCCCAACCAACTGAGCCACCCAGGCGCCCCTTGTACAACTTTTTAAAATCATCATTAAAGGCCTCGAGTTCTACATCTTTTCTTTTTTTAAAGATTTTATTTATTTATTTGAGAGAGAATGAGAGAGAGAGAGCATGAGAGGGGGGAGGGTCAGAGGGAGAAGCAGACTCCCTGCCGAGCAGGGAGCCCGACGTGGGACTCGATCCTGGGACTCCAGGATCATGACCTGAGCCGAAGGCAGTCGCTCAACCAGCTGAGCCACCCAGACGCCCAAGATTTTATTTATTTGACAGAGAGAGACACAGCGAAGGAGGGGACACAAGCAGGGGGAGTGGGAGAGGGAGAAGCAGGCTTCCCGCTGAGCAGGGAGCCCGATGCGGGGCTCGATCCCAGGACCCCAGGATTATGACCTGAGCCGAAGGCAGATGCTTAACGACTGAGCCACCCAGGCGCCCCGAGTTCTACATCTTGATCTTGGGCAGAGCTGTGACCTCTCCTTCTGTTCTACCCTCTTACAAATGTTAAGTTTCCCACCCACGTGACCTCCTTCAGTGAGTTGCACAGAGATGCTCCTTAAGTCTCAGGGTCCATTATCAATTACTTTGTCCCTCTTTCTTTTCAGCCCAGATATATCAAATACGAATTCCATTTCTGCCCCCTCCTCTAACACAGCCTTCTGGAAACAGAAGTATTAGGTAACTGAAAAGGGCCATGTCCACTAACCCTTGACAATACAGATAATAGGCATCAGGTAACTCCAACAGAAGTCACAAATGGAGGACTAAAGATCTTATCAAGACCTGGCTTGTTGCAAGAGGTGCCTGAGCAATCAATAATCAAATCCAGGACAGATGCCCAATGGCAGTAATATGGAAAAAGAGTAATATTATTCTTCATTTTCTTAGAAAACCAAATGAGGAGAGGCAGGAGAATATACTGTCCCAAACAAGAAAACGAGGCTGAAAGTTTTTTAAGATGTACTGACCAGATCATACTGCTATGGGTAGGTCTTCCCTGGGCAGTGAGTTGTGGCAGCTCTTAGTCCACGGGAAGAACTCCCAAGGGCTGCATGGGACAGGTCTTCCCGTAAAGGCCTTTCCATGCCCCCACAACAAGCCATGCCTTAGATCACAGACCCTCACACCCCTGCAGATGAGCCCCACTGAGCCTGCACTTAATAGCTGTATAACTCTGGGCAAGGCATCAAACCTCGCTAAGCCTCAAGTCTCCATCTGAGAAAAGGAAGAAGAGCAGCACCTACTTCCTAGGATCCCTGGGAGGATTAGGTGAGGAAATGGCTCTAAAGTGCCTGGCATGCTGTCTGCCAGAGGAAAAATAAACAGCAGTTAACATCGTAAGGTGTTTCAGCTAAAGAAGGACATTGCTGCAAAGATCACCCTGAACGGCTGTAGGCATGTTTGTAGCCGAGTCAGTCCTGTCCCAGCAGAAGGCTGGGCTGTTCTCTGTGCCAGTCTTTTCCTCGGGCAGGAAGAAAGGTCAGCTTCGAGACCTCACAGAGGAGCTAGCCGCACGCAAGTGACAGCATCGGGCACCACAACAAAGACCTTCATTCAGACTCCACCCTTGAGACCAAAGTTTCAATATGGCACTGGTGACTTAAAATCAAAAAGACCTTAGCCTGACCACGTTTGGAGGCTGTCCACCAGACTCGTGCCTGCTGTCCCGCATCACAGGAAGGCCTATGGTCGGACCCGCTGGGCTACCAAGGACTCGGTCAGCTCCCACCTGTCAAGATGGCATGGGAGCGCGAGCGAGCCTCCCCTGCGGGAAGAGCGGAGCTTCCAGGAGAGGGGAGCAGAGTTAGAGCTTAGAGGGCTCTGGAAACCTGGCTCAGCCACTGAGTGAAGGAAATAAAGTCCTAAAACAACGCTTATAAAGTCCTTGTGAAAACACAGGCAAATATTCAACTAATGTTACAGGAAAAATGAAAAATTACAGCAACTATGTGAAAAACCAACTCAGAGGAAAATGACAGATGCAAGCAGTAAGCATTGTTAACATCTCATTTGCTTGGGTGGCATAAGGTGGATGGTTCTTGTTTAACCTATTTCTTATTTTATTCATTTATACCCTCTTACCTTGTTCCCAAGATTACTGACAGCTGCTCAGTGTGACCTTTCCGCAGATAAAGAGTACTTCTACAAAATGTAACCTGGCTGAAGCCACAACCGCCTCCAGGAGAAAGGACTCACCCGCCTTCGCTCTCAGCGTCTGTGAATGTGGCTCCGGACGTGGCTGTGAAGTAGACAGAGCTGGACCCAGTAGAGTCACTCCTCTCCCGGGCAAATGGGAACCTTCGCCGCCGAGCCACTCTCTGGCTCTCTTCCATGTGGGATCTGAAAGGCAGGGCCCTTTAGAGAGGGTGCCATTAGGCCCCAGCCAGCCTGTCTTTCTCCTCCCCATGAGGGAACCTCTTACTCCTGCTGCTCATTAAAGGGCCAAACACAGAGATAATCCCGGGTTTCTACCCTTAGGACAACACGAAGGGCAGCTCCCCGGACCCAGCCTGCATGGGCAAACCAGCTAAGTCAGAACAAAGCCTGGCAGCCGCTACAACAGACCACGAGGGCCCGAAAGCAGCAAGGAACTTATGGAAGGCAAGGTACCAAGCCTACAGCTTCCCAGCCAATTACACGAGCAGCTCTAAAACGGGCTTCTTCCTCAGAGAGAGCAGCAAGGCCAGGACACAGCTCAGCTGAGAAAGCTAGAGGGACCGGGAGAAGTTGAGGGGCAGGGAGCAAGGCGGGACCGAAGGCTGCATCACTCACCGGACCTCCCCAACAATCTGCCCAGCAAGCCCCTGCAGGCTGCTCCGCAGCTCCTCTACCTCGCGCCGCAGGGCCACCAGACTGGTCAGCACCAAGTCCAGGCGCTCCAGCACCTCCTCCGGGCCCTCTCGCGCAAGGCTGGGCAGCACCGCAGCGTCTCCAGCTTCACCAGGGACTGCCCGAAAAGGCCTCACTGAAGGAAGGACAGCACAGTGATGCTCAGGGGACAGGGTGAGGAAAAGATCTTGGACCTGCAATTTAAGCACACTTGCTTCTCACTGGAGCTCAATTTACTAAAACCCTTGAAGCTCAGACAGTATATGTTCATAGCTAAGTCCTGGTAACAAGTCTTCAAGTTACTATTCAAAGAAAAAAGAAAATCAAGATTCCCAGTCTCTAAACAAGAGCGCCCCCTGTTCCAAGAACCTGTCACACCAGGGCCTTTTGCAGTACCGCACGCCACGGCAGGTAATGTAAAATGCTTGCAAGAACGCAGTCCCTAGAAGGCAGGACACCTGCCCTGTGAAAGGAAAACAAAACCCTTTACTTGTCCGTCTAGTTCCCATATACCAGGCAGTCAATACTAACCCCACAGCAAAACTAAAATTGAGCCCAAATTCTGAGCTTTCACTTCACAAAGAAGAGCAAAGGAAACTCTGAGATCCTTTAGAGGACTTCATTTAGTATCATCAAAGAAGGGCAAAGAGAAAGGGGCAGTTACTAAGAGAAAAGCCCATCCACACCCCATGGAAAAAACACCATTCCCAAGCCCTCATTTGAGCTCTGGCTAAAAATTCCAACAATAAATGCTAATAAACTGGTAGCTACCCAAGGCCATTAGACTGGAAAATGTAAAAACAGTAAAGAAACCAGGAAGGCAGGACCCACAGTCCAGGCAAGCATGAATGTGTTAAAGGAAATCTTTTAGTAAGAGTCTAGGCTGGATTACAGTACACACCCAATATCATTCAAGAATTTCTTGCTCAAGAGAGCAAGAAAGATCTCTGGGGGGCACCTGGCTGGCTCAGTTGGTAGAGCATGCGATTCTTGATCTAGGGGTCATGAGGTCGAGACGTTAAATTAGAGATTACTAATTTAAGTGTAGAGATTAAGTGTAGAGATTAAGAGATTAAGTCGTCAAGTGTAGAGATTAAATAAAACCTTAGAAAAGAAAGATCTCTGGGAACATAGCCACTTTCTCCAAACATCTACTGCTAAGAAATTACAAATAAACCACAAGGAAAAGGAAAGACAAGCACACTTGAAATACTAGGTTACTAGCCAGTTGCAATCTAAATTGGTAACTCTTTGAAGACTCTTCTAAAACAAACTTTTCCAATCCATCTGGCATTTGGTAATCAGAGAAACACTCATTCCCAATTAACATGGGGTGACATGATCTCAATGCTTCTCTATTACACACACCTGAGGAGAGTGGTTTGAACCAGCCCTAGATGCTTTGCTCAAATAACTTAAGGTCAAAGTTCTGCCGAACATGCACTCCCACATCCATGCTATGCAAATTCACAGAACCAGGTGACCAGGCCCAATCCTACCACTTAATTGCTCTGTGACACCCTGGGGAAAGTTACACAATCTTTTCAAATTTCCATTTTCTCCTAAGAAGGATTTAAAAATAAAAACAAAAACAACTTGGATAGTCTCCAAGTTCCCTTCTGGGATCATGACCTGAGCGGAAGGCAGACGCTTAACGACTGAGCCACCCAGGCGCCCCCCCCCTTCAAATTCTAATACATAATTTAATATATAAGCCTCAAGAATTAATTCCCCTAAGATTAGTTTTCCCTTCTGCCTTCTTTTGGACTCTTTACTTATTAAACCCCTCACCCAACACTAAGCAAGTGCCTTTAAAACATGCGTGGCACTATTGTGGCCTGAACTAAGAGTGAAAGCTAAACAGCCTTTTCACAGTATACTTTCCTGGGATTACAGGAAAAAGAAGAGAGAGGCTGCTTTCCTTTTCAATAAGCTTTACAGAAAAGTGAAACTCTCAGCCACCCCCTTCCGTTGTCCTGTCCCACAGGCTCTGCTAAAGGCAGCCCGGACCCTAGGCCCATCCGTCAGCCACGACTGTGGCCTCAGGGGACCGGCTCGTACCCTGGCGTCCTGGCTCTGGGGTCTGCGTGTAGTCCAGGGAGTTAGGTAGGCTCTGGCTGTGGCCATGGCGCTGGGTCCGTTTCCACCGCTGGCTGTAAAAGGCACACAGGAATCCAAGGCCGGCGGCGGTGCCCAGCAACAGTCCCAGCCCGGCTTGGGCGCTGCCCAAGACCCCCAGTCTAGACATGCTGCACCTGCAGCCCACGCGAACCACCGGGAGCAGGCGGGCGGGGCCAGCGGGAGAGAGATTCGTGAGCGTGATCCTCCCACCCCGAAGCTCCCGACTACCCTCACCCCAATCCGGATCCCAAGGTTTCCGCCAGTCCCCTGTGCCCGACCACCGTGCCTCTCACCCAACTTGGACGCAGCCTCCCCTCCAACATACCCGCAGCCCTGACCTCAGAGTCAGGTTTCTGGGCCTCCAACTCCCGCCCCCAGGCCCACGACACTGCAGACAACAAACCCGCCGCCCCGGCTGCAAACTCCAAGCCACCCCCCGCGCCCTCGGAAGGCGCCCTAGCCCCGCAGCAGATCAACTCAGACCCTTACCCGGCCGCCCACAACCAAAGCAGCAGCCGCCACGGCCGCCGCCTCACGCTGTCAATGACCTGACGTCATCAAGCGGCGCCAGCAGCCCCGCGCGCCTTCAGGAACGCGCGACGAGACGGCCGCTCGGGGCTCCGTTTCCGCCCACGCTTTTTCCAGGGGGCGGCGCCGGCAGCGAGCGGGAAAGGGGGACCCAGGAGGGAGAAGGGAGGTGGGGAGGAGGAGAGCTGGGTGACTTCTGGGTCGGATGCTCCAGCAGTACCCCTGTCTGGCCAGAGGAGGTTCCATTTCCTTCCAGCCACGCCAGTTTTCCCGCTGTTCGCGAACGTTTCTCCCTTTGCGTCTACTGCCTAGAATAACCCGTGGTCTTTCTGGAAAACCACCCCCTCCCCACCTTTCCTTGACACTCTGTCAGAACTCAGACTTTATTTGATTTCGGCTTGATTTACTCATGCATTTTTACTGGGACCATTTACTGAGCGCAAGACAGTAGCACCTTCGGCAGTTCAAATTAGAACAGATAAATAGTTGGTTACCTACAAGAGGTCCCGGAGTCACCAGGGCCAGCTTCTGCCGGTTGACACTTAAAAACTCGTGACAGATGCAAACCCCAGCACTAAAAAAATCTTAAACTTACATTATCCGTAGTACCTTAATCAAGAACAGGGTTATATACTGTTTTTCCATTTCCAGAATGGTAAATGAAATTCATTCCTCTAATGATGACGTTTTTTAAGCACTTGGGTGAGGCTGAAACTTGAGTTGATCTCTAGTTGCTTAAATTGGTTCAGATACCATTTCTTTTTTTTTTTTTTTTTTTTTTTAGATTTTATTTATTTATTTGAGAGAGAGAATGAGAGACAGAGAGCATGACAGGGAGGAGGGCCAGAGGGAGAAGCAGACTCCCTGCCGAGCAGGGAGCCCGATGCGGGACTCGACCCCGGGACTCCAGGATCATGACCTGAGCTGAAGGCAGTCGCTCAACCAACTGAGCCACCCAGGCGCCCCATACCATTTCATTTTTTTTTTTTTAAGCTGTATTTTTCAGGATTTCTGTGCCCACTGTGAAAATTAATAAAGGGAAACCACTAATGTAGGCACAGGCTGCTAGAAGGGAAGACTGGAAGGGGCAACCTTATGTCAATTACAGGAAGAATTGTCAATTACAGACCCCTAACAGAAGAATCTCAACAGAAGAGAATCATAAATTACAGGCTCCCACAGAGAAAGATGTACATTGCATCACCTGCAATAAATCAGCTGCCCCTGCAATTCAGCCAATGAAAAACCATCATCACCCTAAACTCTTGCTACACTCCAATGGATTGGTGTTCAAAACAACTCCTCCCAACTTCCTCCTTCTTTTCCATCAAATAACATTCCTCTCCTTTTTTTGTTGAACTTGCCTATGGTTTTGTTGTAGCTTCCTTGTCCTGGATCACAAACCTGTGCTATTCCTGAATAAACCTATGTTTTTGCTCGGAAAATAACTAGCAGTTTTAAGGTTAACACCACCATTACCCATCGATTTTTTTTTTTTAAAGATGTTATTTATTTATTTATTTGACAGAGAGAGACAGCAAGAGAGGGAACACAAGCAGGGGCAGAGGGAGAAGCAGGCTTCCCGCCCACCAGGGAGCCCAACCTCAGGACCCTGGGATCATGACTCTCGCCGAAGGCAAGACGCTTAATGACTGAGCCACCCAGATGCCCCTACCCATCCATTTTTAAAATTCCATTTTGAGATTTTATGCAACTTCTTATAATTTTAAAAACTGAAATTACAGTACTACGATTCCAGTGTTACCACCAGCATTTCTTTCAAGTTAAAATTTCGTTTGGTGACAGGTGGATTATCTAAACGAATCCTCAAATCCTTGACTAGATATTGTATTTATTTACCCTTTATATGTGAGATCTTTTACAAATAAGAGAGTACATTTAATGTAATGTACATTGTAAAGAACAATTTAAAGGCAACAAGGGGGCGCCTGGGTGGCTCAGATGGTTAAGCGTCTGCCTTTGAAGCTCAGGTCATGATCCCGGGGTCCTGGGATCGAGTCCCGCATCGGGCTCCCTGCTCAGCGCAGAGCCTGCTTCTTCTTCTCCCTCTGCCATTCCCTCTGCTTGTGCTCTTCTATCTCTCTGTCAAATAAATAAATAAAATCTTTAGAATAAAGGCAACAAGGTTCCTACCCCACAGCTTAAGGAATAGAAATTTACCAAAACCTTCTACTCATTTTTAAGGATTCAATTCAATTGGTATCTTCTGAGATACACGAACTATAATTGTCTTGGTGGTGAGAAAAGAGTGTTTTTAATATACTTTTTCCATAATTTTGTTCTCATTTTTCTGAGATAAGCATGTTTCTTTAGTATTAAGAAAAAATAATAACTTTTGGAGAGAATTAAAAGTCATTTCCTTTGCAGAACCTTCCCAGACTACCACCTTGGTGGACTTAATCTTTTTATTTTTCTTTGCTCCTGAGGCTTGGTTTACCTCCATTACACTTGGTTGCACGATTATTTGCTTTCTAGTCTGGCTACCCAACTGGAGTGTTCACTCTTCCAGGTTGGGGTTCATGCTCAATTCATCTCCACATTCCCTGAGCTCCAATGCAGAAGCCACCCATAGAAGCTGAATGTGGAGGAAGGAAGGAAAGAAGGAATAACCAATATCCAGGCCCGACCACTTAGACAATGCCTTCATGATGAAAACCTGACTTGTGGAAGAACAATCTCTCCTCTTTCTGCAGGGGAGGAAGATCTGCCAGATAAACTGACTGTGGCAAGAGGCGAGGCCAGATGGGCAGACCAAGCGGGGGAATTCATTTCCCTCTGGATATTAAAGATGTTATCTGTGGGCATGTGGCCGCCAGAGCGCTCAGCAGCAGGGTGGGTGATTCTGGATAGAGCTCTCTATCTTATGTGGCATCGGCAGACCAGTTTTGCAAATGTAATAAAACCCTGGCAGCCTGAGATATGCACTGCCTTCCTGTCTCCTCCTCACCCCGGCCCAGCCTGAGAGAGGAGAGCAGAGCAGCCCCCAAATTCCTGCTCTCATCTCTGCCCCGAACAGGCAAGGCTCAGCTACGCACCGGGCTCTTCCAAGAGAGGCAACATAGTCAAACGCCTTGGGATGGTGGCCTTACCCCCTGGGTCTAAACACTAGTGTACTTGACACTTAAAAAATTGTTCTTATTAAATATTTAATACCTACAAAAGGGTATTTATAATACATATAATACAATAAAGATTGAGGACATGTATAACCCTTAGCATCCAGGTGCTAGTGTGAGAAAGAGAACATCACTATTGCCTTGTAAGACTCCTGCATGGCTGTCCCTGCCTGGTCCCTCTCACTTCTCTCAGAGGTAAACACTGCCCTGAATATTACATTTATCATTCCCTTACTCTTCTTTATAATCAACCACATATTTTTTAATTGAAGTGTAATTTAACCATGTTTTTTATCCCCAATGTATTATTTTATTTTGCAAGTTTTGAGCTTTAAGTAGAATCAATCTCTATTTTTCCACAATTTACTTTTGCACTTAGCATTTTTCATTGCTATGCAGTTCCCATTGTATCAATCAACCAAAAACTTAACTCCACTTTTTTTTTTTTAAGATTTTATTTATTTATTCATTAGAGACACAGAGAGAGAGGCAGAGGGAGAAGCAGGCTCCCAAGGAGCAGGGAGCCCAATGCGGGACTCAATTCCAGGACCCTGAGATCACGACCTGAGCCGAAGGCAGACGCTCAACCTTCTGAGCCACCCAGGTGCCCTTAACTCCACTTTTGATAGACGTAAGGACTGTTTCCGTTTTTTTGCCAAGTACAAACAGTGCTGTTATGAATATTCTTATACGTGCATCCTGATGAGTGAGTTTTCTTGAGGTTTATTGAGGAGAGATGTAGCTGGGTCATATCCATGCACAACTTCAGCTTTGCTAGATGATGCCAAGCTGTTTTCCAAGGTGATTGTATCAATCATAACACTTTGCAATCCCAACAGTAGTGTTCTAGTTGTTAGACCTTTTCACCAATACTCAATGTTTACAGATTTATTTATTTAGCAAATCAAAGTAGTATCTCATTGTGGTTTAAAACGTAGTCTGAGGGGCACCTGGTTAAGCCTCAGATTCTTGGTTTCGGCTCAGGTCATGATCTCAGGGTGGTGGGATCAAGCCCCGTGTGGGCTCAGAGCTCAGCTCAGAGTCTGCTTGAGATTCTCTCTCCCCTTCTCCCAGCCCCCTGGTGTTCACTCTCTCTGTCTCTCTATAATATAAATAAATGAATCTTTAAAAAATAAAATATAGTTTGATTTGCATTTCTGGGATTTCTTTTTTTTTTTTAAGATTTTATTTATTTATCTGACAGAGAGAGACACAGCGAGAGAGGGAACACAAGCAGGGGGAGGGGGAGAGGGAGAAGCAGGCTTCCCGCTGAGCAGAGAACCAGATGTGGGACTCCATCCCAGGACCCTGGGATCATGACTGAGCCGAAGGCAGACACTTAACAACTGAGCCACCCAAGCGCCCCGCATTTCTGGGATTTCTAATGATATTGAACATCGTGTTATCAGTTTATTGGCCACTTCCGTTCCCTGTTTTGAAAATGCCTATTCAAGTCATTTGCCCTGTTTTTTTCTATTGATTTATCTTTTTATTGTCGATTTGAAGGAGTTCTTTATATGTCCTGAGTATTAATCTTTTTTTTTTTAAAGATTTTATTTATTTTTTGACAGAGAGAGACACAGCGAGAGAGGGAACACAAGCAGGGGGAGTGGGAGAGGGAGAAGCAGGCTTCCAGCGGAGCAGGGAGCCCGATGCGGGGCTCGATCCCAGGACCCTGGGATCATGACCTGAGCCGAAGGCAGACGCTTAACGACTGAGCCACCCGGGCACCCCTGAGTATTAATCTTTTGTTAATCCTTCGTTAGGCATGAATATCTTCTCTCTCTAGCTAAATTGTTAGTCTTGGAGGTGGAGAATAGGGGTAGAGAGTACACAATAGTCAGACCAGTAAGAGTCCTTTAGGTTTACAACTGCCTGTTTCCCTTACTGCGCGCTCTCCACATCTGTCAAGCTGCTGGAGGCACAGAGCACGGCCTGTAAGTGCCCAAAGAAGATTGTCCAAGGGCCAGGGAAGGTTACAGGCTGTTTCTTTTTGCTTTTTTAGAGAACCAATCATAAGGCAGGTAAAGAATCTTTTGAGTTTTCAGATTTTGAAACATCTAGATGAAGGGGTGGACCACCGAGGTGCACTTGCTGCCCTCTCATCGGGGGCTGGTGCCGGAGATGAAATCTTTCTGCTTCAGGTGTTGCCTAGCGATTTCCCGCGCGTGCGCTCCATCTCTCCAGCTTCGCGGGAAGCTCTCCCAAGTGGGGGCCAGATTCCATTGGTTTAAATCCCTCCGGGACTGGCACACAACCAAACGCTCAGTTCCTTTATAGATTTACCTATGGGGCCGCAGATATGCAAGGTTCGGCCGCTGCACTAGAAATTACAGTCAGGGAGGCGAAAATGCGCAGTGCACACGAGGTGGCATTGTAGCTTTAGCCACAAGCGTCCCACCCCTGTCTCCTGTGCGCTGACGGAGTCCCCGGAGAACGTGTCCTGGGGACGAGAAGTGGGGATCCGCTAAGAGCTTTAGAGGCGTCCCTGGGTCGGGGTGGGCTGGAGCTTGGGAGGGACCTTTTGGGAGGGTCGCCGATTCCTCCCTGCTCTGCTTCACAGGGACGGGGGCGGGGACCAGCAGGACTTTGGAACCTAGTGCCCGAGGTGTTGCAGAAAGAGGGCGCACGGTCAACACGCCCGCTTTGCAGCACGGCCCGCCGCAGCCCGCCGAGCCCTCTGGCCCACCCCCTACTCCAGGCAGCGGGAGCGCGCCAATGTCCCAGAGCACGGCCCCGAGGGCAGGAGGCGGGCCCGAATTATCAAGTGCGGGGGCGCGTCACGGGCGCCCGCTCCTGATTGGCCGGCCGCGGCCGTCACGGGCCGGGTGCACTGGGATTGGCGCCGCCCGAGGCCAGAGCTGGAGTAACTGGACTCTGGGCGGCGGGTCGCAGTCCCAGAGCTCAAGGGGCTGGCGTCGGCGCCGAGCCCAAAGCCCTGGGTGGGAGCCTGGCCGGGACGCGCGCACCATGCCCTACGTGCTCATCAGCACCCAGATCCGCCTGGTGAGTACCCGCCGCCCCGCGAGTTGGGATGGAGTTGGTTGGGGCCGGGCCCGAGCCCGGGCAGAGGGCGCTGCCACTGCACCTTGGCGCCTCCCTCTCGGGCAGCGCCCGCCAGTGACTGGACCCGGAAGCCGCCCGGGACACGCCCCCTCGGGCCGCGGGTCGGAGGCTGGGGAGCGCACTCAGCCGGGATCGCAGGATTCGGGGAGTTCTGGCCGGCCGGTGCTTCCAGTGCCGCAAAGCGGGTGGGGTGCGTGCGTCCCCGCGGCCGAGTGGGCTCGGGGCGCTTGCGGCTCCTGTCCTACCTGCCCGCCCGAGGAAGCCAGGAAGCCCTGGCCTCAGAGTGCAGCACCCACTGCTCTACACAGAGCAGCTCCGTAGGGGTTACGGGGTGGGTGGGTGGGAGTGGAAATATTTGGGGGGAAAGAGGTTTGGAAAAGAAAAGGACATGCTAGGACGCTAAAACACATATGCCAAGTGCCTGGCCCATGCACAGCCACTAATAGCACCCTCAGGCACTTCCAGAAAGTCTTTAGGAGAGAAAGAAGGGGGAGACAGGCCCTGTGGTTAGAGGTGGGGAGACCATTCCGGAGTCAGAAGTGACGCCCCTGTCTCTGGGTGAAATTTCCTCGTCCAAGACGGTGCTGGTCGCCCCAGGAATCCCCTTTTAACTTCAGAATGGTACGACTGGGCACCCCAGCCAGCACCTCCGTCCTTTCCCACTACCGAGGTGCTTGGGTGATCCATCAGCACGTGCACAGCTCCTTTGAGATGGAGATAGCGGGTGGGGGGAGGGGTCGCCATGGGACAGGCGAGGTCTTGGCGGTGACCTAGGGCAGTGGTTTGAGAACCAGTTACTTGGGCAGTTAAAATGTGCACTCCTGGGCCCCTTCCCAGACCTTCCAAAACACTCTCTAAGCCTGAGGCTTAGGAATTCAGTGCTCTTCAGGGGATTTTTTTTTTTTTTTTTTTTTTTTAATAAATAGAACAGCTTTACTGATATATAGCATACATGTCACAGAATGCACCAATTTAAAGTGTACAATTCAGTATTTTTTTAAAGCATGCTCAGGAGTTGTACAGCTATCACCTAATCAATTTTAGAACATTTCCATCCCCTTGAAAAGACACCCTGTACCCATGCCCTGTATCTTAGCAGTCACTCCTCACTGCCTCTGAGCCCCCCAGCCCTAGATAACCACTAATCTACTTTCGTGCCTGGCTTCTTTCACTTTTACGTTTTCAAGGTTCATCCATATTGTAGGATGCGTCGGTACTCATTCCTGTTTTGCCAAATAAGATCCCATCGTCTAGCTACATCACAGCTACATCACAGTTGACAAACACTTAAGCTGTTTCCCCTTTTGGGGTCTTGTGCATAATGCTGCTATGAACACCCCTGTACAAGTTTTTGTGTGGACCTGTTTTCATTTCTGTTTTCCAGGTGATTCTGACACATACAAACATGGATAGTGATACCTGGCAGGAAGTTGCCAGGAGGCAGGCAATGTCCAGCTCAGCTTGGAGGGGCCAGGGACGCCTCACATTGCCAAGCCTGCTCACTCAGGGCTCCACCCTTTCCCAGCTCGTGCTCAGCCCCCAGTGTTCCTCTGCACCCTGTCCGGCCTTGAACTGAAACTGGCTCAGGGCCAGCAGGCAGGGGAGGAAGGACAGAGAGACCCTCCACCTCTCCCTGGCAGCCAGCCAAGCAGCCACTGTGGCTTATCTTGCAGGAGGTGGGCCCTACCATAGTGGGCGATGAGCACTCAGATCCAGAGCTGATGCAGTATCTGGGGGCCTCAAAGAGAAGCGCCTTGGGAAACAACTTGTAAGTAGTGGCATTCCTGAGGATCTTCTCCCTGCCGGCCCCGAGACCTGCCCGTTTCCTTTACGCAGCCAAGCCCAGGGATGACGCCACTGCCTAGCGTCAGAGGCCCTGCCTGCATCATGGGGATCTGTCCTCTGTGGGGTCAGTCCTGTCTGCAGCTTCACCGCAGCCCCCAGGCTTGCTCTGAAAGCTCTCACTGGCCCTCCCTTCACAAGGGAACCCCAGGACAGAGTCCAGCTGGTAGAGGACTCCATAAGTGGACTGTTCCTTGCCCTGCCCTCTCATCTCGGAGCTGGACCCCACCAAGACAAAGAAAGGCACAGAGAGAAAGGTTTCTCTCGAGCTGGCTGAGTAAGAAAGCTGAACTCTACAAACAGGCAGCAGGCAGCCTGGGTCCTCCTTCCAGCTCAGCTGCTGCCTGGGGACTTGGCCACGTCCCCTGGCGTGCACACCAGCTCCACAGCTGTGGAACTCGTGACAAGTGCTCCAAGAATGAGCCCCAGTTCAAAGAGGGGAAAGAGGAGGCAAGCTGGCCCCAGCCCCTTGGGTCAGGGTTGGAGGGCTGAAGCCAACCCCATTCCTTTACCATGAGGCACTTGTCTCAAGATGCCCAGCTTGGGGCTTGAGCCCTTTACCTGACAACCCTTCATAATCAATCAACCCTGAAAGAAGGGACAGCATTCTCTGTGCTAGGGGGGCAGCACCCAGAGCCAGAGCTATTAGGGGCCAACCTGTTGCTCCAGGACTGTGGGACAGGCAGGGCAGCAAGAGGGGGCAGAGCCGTGGGGGAGGACCCTGGAGAGAACGGGCCATTCCTCCTGAATAGTGCAGTGGCCCAGCGCACATGGGGCTGTCATCAGACTAACATGGGCTCTACAATCCATAGGACATTTGGAAAGCTACCCATCCCCTCCCAAGATTTCGTATTTATAAAATGGGAACAATCATGGTACTTTCCTTAGGTTGTCGGGAGGAAGAAACAAGCTATACAAGTCAAGTGCTTAGCAGGGGAGGGGGCAGGGAGTGTGCACTTAGCCGGGCACCTAGAAGGCACGCAGCCAATACCAGTCACTACCAGGATCCCTGACCAGGCCTCCTCAGCAGCAGACATTAGCTGTGTGCGAGGAATCGGCGCTCTGTGCGCCCTCAGGCTGTCCTTCCCCCCCCCCCCCCTTCTCTTCACAGTTATGAGTACTTTGTCAGCGATCCTCCTCGCATCGTCCTGGACAAACTGGAACGCAGGGGCTTCCGTGTGCTGAGCATGACAGGGGTGGGCCAGACGCTGGTGTGGTGCCTGCACAAGGAGTGACCCTCTCCCACTGAGGAGCACACAGAGCACCCCTTTCTTGAGCGGTTGCCGTGGGCCCTGATCCTGAGTCCCCATTCACTCTCTTCCCAAATTGTCATTTTCCTTAGCCTGGCCCCACTGGGCAGTGAATGGCCTTTTCTGAAACATGCCTCAGCCAGGGGGAGAGGGCAGGGCCCTTGCCCTGGTGCTCTCAGCTGCCCCTCCAGCTTCTCGGCCTGGCTGAGAGCCCTGGAGGAGGCCATGTCCTGTGGGCAGGCTGAGGGGCCCGAAAGAGCCAGGCTGTCCCTGGCCAGGAACTGGGAGCCCCCCAGGAGCACGGCCCCAGGACTGGGCGGGAGGGTCCTGTGTAGCTAGTCCAAGCCAATAAAGGCCTGTGATGAGTGGTTGCCCCTCTGCTCTGCCGGCTCACTGACTCTCACCGTGCAGAGCACCTCCCTGGGGGTCTGCTCACGCCTGGGGAGGAAGAGCTAGGCCTGGGTGGAACCCTCTCAGGCAGAGCCCACCAGGGCCACGCTTGGGCGGGCCAGCACCCAACACCTACAGATACAATAGAGGTAGACTCTTGTTAAAAAAAAAAAAAAAAAGTTTATTGGTGACGTTCAAGAAGAGGGCCGTGGGTGAGTGGGCTGTGGGCTGGAGGCAGGAGGCTACGTGGGCTGCCCCACCTCATCCTCCCGCTGCATCTGGGTGATCAGCTGTTGACGCTCAGCCGCCTGGCGCATGCGCATCATGACGAGGCTCTCATAGTCCCTCTCGGACAGCACTGAGCCCTGGGGGACAGAGGGGACCGGGGGACGGTCAGGGTAGCAGGGTGCAGCCCCCCACTCCAGACTTGGAGGACTGGGCCTAGGCAGAACTACAGTCCTGAGTCAAGGAGTGAGGCTGCCCGGTACTTCTCCGCGGGCTCTCCTCCCACCCATCACAAGCAGCCCCCAGGCCTTCCATCAACAGTCAGCCCTGCTCCATCTTCTCAGGCTGAATCACTGCGTGCGCCAGCCAGGCCCTGTCTCCCTTCATTTTTTTTTTTTTTTAAAGATTTTATTTATTTATTTGAGAGAGAGACAATGAGAGACAGAGAGCGTGAGAGGGAGGAGGGTCAGAGGGAGAAGCAGACTCCCTCCCGAACAGGGAGCCCGATGCGGGACTCGATCCTGGGACTCCAGGATCTTGACCTGAGCCGAAGGCAGTCGCTTAACCAACTGAGCCACCCAGGCGCCCATGTCTCCCTTCATTTCCTCCTCGCCCTTTATTTGTCACTCCTTCTGGCCACCCGTGGCTTGGGCTTCTCACAGGTTTCCAGCGAAGGCGCTGTCAGAGGGGCAGGAGAGCACCGCCCCCTCCCCGCGGTCTGGCTCCTGCCAGGACAGAGAAGGGAGCCCTGCCCTAGACGCAGGCTCAGTCAGCCCCCGCACTAGAAGGAGAAACAAGCATGAGGCCACCTGCCTCCTAAAAATACACACCAGGGCTACAGGAGGGCGGGGCCCAGTGCCTTCTTTTATGATCTTGCCAGCGCAGTGCAGGGGATTAAAGGGTGCTCTATGTTCATAATCAAAAGAATAATAAACAACCAACCCAACGCGCCAGTGTTGTGGGGTGGAGAGGCAGCTCTCCAGTGGAGCTCAGATCCACCCACCCCACACCCTGATAAGGTCTGCAGTGGGAACGAAATCACTTCTCCCGTCGGTACAGCTGAAGCTTTGTGAAGTGTGAAGCCCACCTGAGTTGGCACAGAAGTGAGCCAGGCCAAGGGGGCTGCGGAGCAGAGCCAACCGCTGAGCCCTGTTCTGTGGCAGACCCAGCGAGTGCACGCTCACGGAGTAAGTTCAGTGGTCAGTGACCTGGGGAATGTGACGGGAGTGACTGGGGTTAAGATGCCAGACCCTGGCCAACTGGTTTGAAGTAAGGGCTGTACAGAACCAGGAAGTGTGACTCAGCCCAGATCCCCCTGCTTCTCTGACAGTGCCAGCCTCCTTGTCTGTCGGGGGGGCTGCCGCAGCTCTGAGGACAGTAGCCCTCCCAGCCAGGCCCACCTACCTACGCTTGGCCCAGGGCACTGCTGACAATTCAGGGCAGCCCATGTGGCCCAACCCTTTCCACAGAGGAGGGACCCCAAAGAAGGCCCAGGTGGCCCAAGGCAGGATAGGAGGCAGCAGGACCAGGGCCCTCAACTGCTCTCTCCTGCCCTGAGGCTACGGGAGTAAATCCAGGAAGATGAGGAACTGCCAGACTGGCTGTCAGGCCTCAGGCCAGGGGAGAGCAGTCCTCCCTCCCCAAGGTAAGGCTGCTCTGCAGAGCGATCTTCAGAGTCACCCCGTGCCCTGAGCCCAGCCGTGGGAGGAGCCAGCCCTTTCCAGGCATGGGGCTGCTTCCCGTTAACACACCCTCTATCCCTTCCTTCTCATACCTTAAGTCTTGGCTAAGGAGGGCCTGTCACAGGCCCCAGGACTGAGTCACCCACACTAGTGACAGGTCTCTCTTCCTTCTCCAACAACTGTTCCACATGCCTGCCTTTCAATTAATTCCCACCCTCCTTGGGCTCGTCCCTCCCGGACACTTGGGGGGCAGGAGGGGGGTTGGGGATCCAGGCCCATGGGCTAGGGCCCCAGGCAGAGAGGCTGTGGGGGAAAAAATGAGCAACGTGGTGACACACAAAGCAGGGCTGCCCCCAGAGAGTCCTCAGGGGAATCCGAGGCTCCCCAGTGCCCTAGGGTGTTGGCCACAGCTGGCCCAATCCTGGCCCGCGGATGCTGCAATTACCTAAGAGCATGAAACCTGGCTTCCCACCTGACTGAGTCACCTGAAAACAACACATCCCCACTGCCACACGCCGGCACAAACAGCCAAGCCACTAATCAAGAGTCCGGGAGCTGCGGCGGAGAGGCCAGGTGAGCTCGGGTCCACCCGGAGCGGCCGCCGCCAGGGAAGCAGTCCAGGCGGCTCTAGCACCGAGAGATCCATCTCTGGCACCTCGGCGGGGCTGCCCGCACTCCGACTCCAGTAAGTGCTGCTTCTTCCTCTTGGCGTTTTTCCCCACTGCCCGATCAAGTAACCAGGCCGCTCCTGTCCCTCTGGGAAACTCCTGTCGCCAGGAACTCCCACCTTTCTGCTCTCCCGGACAAAAGCACCCTCTTGCCAGGACCTCTTGCCACCGTCTAAGATGCTGGCCAAAAGTCCATGCTTCTAGCCCACTAGGGCTGTCCCCTGGTTCTTGCCAGTCACTGCTCCAGCGGGAACCTAATGGTCCCCAGCTACTCTTGAACTGGGCTGCTGAGGTACCAGGCTCGTCTGCTGGCTCCCCTGGGTGCCATGGAGACCTGGCGGAAAGGCTCCTTCCGCAACGCCTCCTTCTTCAAGTGGCTGAGCCTAGGGCGGCCGAGGCGACTCCGGCGACAGGGCAGTGTGCTCAGCCAGGCGAGCACAGCTGGTGGGGATCACGAGGAATACAGCAACCGAGAGGTCATCCGGGAGTTGCGAGGGCGGCCAGATGGCCGGCGCCTGCCCCTGTGGGGGGACGAGCAGCCCCGGGCCACCCTGCTGGCCCCACCCAAGCCTCCCCGCCTCTACCGAGAGAGCTCCAGCTGCCCCAACATCCTGGAGCCCCCCGCTGCCTACACCGCTGCCTACTCGGCCACCCTGCCCTCGGCGCTCTCCCTGGCGGGCACCTTCCACCACTACTCTGAGGACAACCTTCTGGACACTCCCTCCTTCCAGGGGACACCTGCTCCAGACCTCAGTGATCCCTTCTTCTCCTTCAAAGTGGACCTGGGGATTTCACTTCTTGAGGAAGTTCTACAGATGCTGAGGGAGCAATTTCCGAGTGAACCTGGCTTCTGAATGGGGTGCGGGTGGGCAGAGGTGGGGTAACTGGAAGAGCTGGAAGCCTGGAAAGAGGGTGCAGCTGCAGATTAAGAAAAAGGTAGGGATAGGAATCCAGGATCCTGCCTGCCCTCCGGGTCCTGAACAGTCCTCCAGGTCACCCCAGAGCGGAGGGACAGAAGGACAGAGGCAAGCTGGAAATGCTGTGGAGGGGGCACTTGCTGGCAGGAGCCCTGAAGGCAGTTGGCTAGGCTGGGAAAGGGAGGCCACGCCTGTAACCACAGGAACGGGGCAGAGGCCAGCAGAGGGGGATGGCAGCACAAGGGGTCTCAGGGAGTGGAGGCCATGCAGACTGTGCAGGTCAGACAGGTGCCCTGCACCAGCCCCTCTGAAGCCACTGTTAATAGACATCACAGGACAGGACTAGACAAAAGTGGTCCCCCCCACTAGCTACATGTGGCTGTTCACATTGAAACTAAGTAAAATTAAAAATTTAGTTCCTTGGTTGCACTAGCCACGTTTCAAATGTCCAACAGCCACACGTGACGAACGGCTACCACATTGGACAGTGCGGGCTGAACATGAACATCACTGGAGAAAGCCCTAGTGGGCAGCATGGGTCTAGGCCACAGCCTGGAGCCACGAGGGCCACGGTGGGCGAGGGGGACAACCAGGCCCTGCAGGGGAGGGGAGGGGCTGGCAGAGTAGGAAGAGCGAGGCAGGTAGAGGTGCAGAGTACAACTCGGGGAAGGCCAAACAAATCATTTGCCGAAGGGACAAGAGAGACAAGCTGCCAACGCTGCTGCCCAGAGCACGCCCTGAGCCCGAGGAAGGAGGCTGTAGGGACTGCCAGCCAGAGGCACAGGGGTGCTTGGGGGAGTTCCCACAATTATTAGTGATGGGAACCCTTGGGAAATGTAGCAGAAACAGTGGCAGATTTCCCTTTCTGCCCCAAGAGCATAGGAGAACCAGATCAGGGGACGGACACAAAACTCGTGGCTGTTACTGTGAAGAAGCTCAGCGGGTCTCCGGAATTCTCCACCAGGATTGGGGAGCTCTGCCTTGCCCGGACCCCCTGATGATGGGGGCCTGCCGCCCAGGGCCAAGCCCACTGGTCAAGGCCAAAGGCTGTGCCAGTGCTCCCGGCTTGTGGCCTGGCCAGAAGACTTGAAACCAGAACCACACTGGCTGGTCACGTGGTTCTGACACGCTAGGCCTCTCCAAGCCTGGCAGAGGGGGAGAGAAGCTTCGACGCATGCTGCTTGCATACCCAAGCCTATGGCCTCCCTCTTCCCTCCTCTGCGCGGACTTGCGGAGTTGAAAGCCTCCCCACCAGATGCAGGAGAAAATGAATAAAGTTGTTTGTAACATGGCCTATAGAGTGTCATCTGGGGCTGTGAAATGCTGGGACTTAACAGCAGGGAATGAGGTCTCTAAAGAAGGGCTCCGACCCGTTCATCTTTCTCCTCTGCCCAGGATCTGGGCCACACTCCCAGGGAGCTTCCCGTCCTCCCAGCCAGCTGAGGAGCGCACAGGAGAGCAGGGATGGCATGGCTGAGGCAATGAGAGCAAAGCCCTGTGGACCCCCAGGGACCTCTCCCCCACGGGTTGGGCTGTGAGCATGGCAGCCTGAGGCTCCCACACAGATCCGCAGGCCATTTCAGAGAAGGGACAGCTCTGGGCCCGAAGGCTCTCTGTCCCGCCAAAGTGGGGTGGTGTAACCAGGGCCAGGTGCGCACGTGTGCAGGTGCCGAACAGAACGCCTCACGCAGCCATGAGGACCAAGAGCCAGCGCGCAGGCGGCGCCCCAGGGCCAGCAGGGGAGCCAGTGCTGATGCTGAGGGATTTGGCCTCTTGACAGTAGGCCCCTGCCGGGGCAGCCCCGGACACACCTGGAGAACTGAACCAGAGCCGGGTAGCAAGCAGCTGCTCACACTGCCTGCCCCTTCCTTCCCTGCGGCACCAGGCAGGCAGTCGAAATGCCCAGTGCTTCACACCACAACCAAGCAGCCCGTGGGCCAGGAAAGCCCCTCTGGGCGATGGTGGGAGCCCCAGGCGGAGACCGGGGGACATGGAGGGAAAGGAAGGTCTAAGAATTCTGTGCGGGGTGGGGTCCTGGCACTCAGAGACAGAAAGAGTCAGAACAGAATCCCAGTCCTGTTCAGGTTGGCAAACCTGCCAATCTCACTCTGCTCCTGACAACCTGGATTTGGGAAGAAAGGGCCCTGAGCAGAGCCCAGACAGAAAAGGTCCCTCAAACCCTGAGCAGACCCAGCTGAGGGAGGTGTGGTTCCTTACCTGTGACAGTCCTGGGTGGCTGGGGCCCCCCACATCCTGGGGCTGTCCCTCCAACCAGGAAATCTTCAGAGGGTTATCAACCAGGCCCACTTCATTTTGGACAGCCAGCTCCTGCCAAACACAGTACCCAGTCCTTGGTCCCATGGCTCCAATCAGCCATAAAGTGGCTCTCTCTACACCCGCAAAAAGATTCAGAACCAGCCCTCTCATCCTCCAGGCAAAACCAAGCAACCTTCACACAATGACAGGCTGAACTTTGACCCTCCTCATGGGTGAGTGGGGGCTACGAGCCTTCTAACTGGGGAGTGGGGGGAGAGGCAAAGCATGCCTGGAGGCATGTCAGCTTCCAAAGGAAGGGAGAGGGTGTGGAGCCAGGTAGCAGGGAACAGTCGGTCTAGGCTCTCCTTCATCCCCAGAGCATTCTCCCGCTCTTACCTTCACTCACTGTGCCTCTACTCCCAGGAATCGGTGGGAGGAGGCCCTCTGGGAGTGTGGATACCTAAGCTCAGAGGGCCCACAGTACTGGCTCCCTACTCTGGAATAGTGGGGCCACCATGGCCCCCCAAAGCCTCCCACAGCACTCACCGCAGCCTTGATGGTTGCAAACTCCACCACGGCAGTGCCAGCCTTCTTACTGGAAAGCACCAGGTGGAGCACCTCTCCATACTGTGAGGACAAGGGGGTCCCAGTAAGCATGGCTCAGCCTTCGGGAGCAAGACAAGTTTGGGTTGGCCTGAGGCCTGCCGGGGCATTTTTGGTTGGGGGATAATGCTTTGTTGCTAATTTCCCAGAGAGGGATCAGAGATGGGAAAGAAAGGAGATTTTTGCTGGGATGCGGAAGGATGGCAAAGGAGAGCTGGGCAAAGGACTGAGGACTCAGACTGCCACCAAAGGTGGGAAGGGGATGGGGCTTCTGTGCCAAGTGCCCACCTTGTCTCTCCCCACACACTCCAGATGGCAAGGACTAGAGCAGGGCAGGGAAGGCGACACTGGCCTGAGGGTACATGGCAACCCAGGGACCAGAGGGCCGTAGCTGGGGAAAGCCTCTAGGCTGCCCTACGGTCTGTGAGGCAGAAAACGTTTAGGCATGGAGATTTGGGGTTTTGGCTGAGATGTAGACAGAGATGGTAAAGAGGGAAGGCAGCAGGGCAGACCTTCTGGAAAAGCTGTAGGAGGACATCTCTGGAGTAGCCGCCTTTTGACTCATCTTCTTTCTTGCACTTCCATTTTAGCTGAAAAGACATCAGTGAGCGCCACCATTAAACTCTGACCTCGGCCTGAACTGTCCCAGCGCCGAACCTGAGCTTTACACTCTGAGCGACACTCATGGTCTTCCAGGCACTTGTCATCTAGGAAGCACCACCAAAAATATGTGTTCCGCTTGAAAATGGATAGGGAGGGTGGCATGCTCACTGGAAGCCGCACTTCCGGCCCCATGAGATGCTCCCCTTCCAGGGCTTCTGGGGAGTGCTGCCTGGCAACCGCCAGGGCTAAGGGGGCCTTTCGGGGCGAGCTCTGAGAGGCCAGCCTGATGCCCAGGCAGCGGGAGGATGGAAGGATGTGGGTGGTAGTGCTGGCTCCCAGAGGCCCAGCATCCCCGCCAGAACCCCTTGAGCCCCCAGAAGGATCTGTTCTTGCTAACAAGAGGTAGTGTGCAGTGGCTCATGGATCCCACAGGGGGTTTAGCTTGGGAGTTTAGCTTTAGCTCACCTTTAGCTTGGGGGTTCCTCTGCCTTCAGGATTTTCTGCCTTTCCTAAAAATTTTGGGAAAATTAGCAAGGTAGAATAGGAGGGAGCCAGCAGGTTCTCTAAAGGAGACACAAAGACCTATAAAAGGTCACTCCTTACCAAAGGCAGTATCTGCCCTCCCTACTGATGAGCTTGGTGGGGAAGGTAGAGGCAATCCCACCCCCATCCAGAGGAGCTGCCACCTCAGGGGCGGTCTGCCCGGCTGCCTGCTGAAGGCCACGATTAGCACTCTGCCAATAAAGGTTGAGACAGAGGTGCAAACGCCATAGTTCTACTGAAACAAAGTATCCCAGAGCCTTTCCTCTACTGATCTGCTCTAAAATAGAGCCAACTCTGCTTAGGGCTCAGACAAACAGGGCCAGGAGATCCCAGGCAGAGTGAAAAACAAATAGGCCCCAGAGAAGTGGTGGGAAGAAGGGACAGGTGGTGTATGTCTGAGTCAGGTGGCCCCAGGGTTGCAAGCAGGTGGAAGCCTCCAGAGCAACGCCACCAAGCAGCCAGTGTGCCTGCTCTGGGCATTTGGGGCTGCCTCAGAGGGGAGGTGCGTGGAGGTGAGAGACGCTTACCTCTCAACCTCTGCTCCCGCTCCTGGCGTATCTGCTCCTGGATCAGCCTCTGCTGTTCCTCCAGCTGCCGGGAACCCTCTTCCCGAAGGCGTTCAATCTGCAGAGCGGGGTTGGGGGGAGTGACAATTCTGTGCAGATCCAATTCCAGGTTGGCTCACCTTGTGAAGGTCCCTGGGAGGCTCCACCTGCAAGCTATGGCTCAGCAACCTGTGGGTTGGACAGATTACCCAGATCCCACAGAAGAGGGAAAGGGCATGCCGTCTGCAGCCACGAAAGCCACCGAGGCCCACTGTCCTCCTTTTCCTGCAGACAGATTTAGGCTGGCACGCCTGGACGCTCACCTCCTGCTCCAATGTCCTGGTGCTCCGGCTCTCCTCCTCCTCCTCACTGCCATGGGCCTGGGCCTGCCGCTCTCGGGCCTCCAGGTCTGGGCATAAGAGGTGAATGACCCAATGTCTGGTCTAAGCAGTTTCTACATGGCCACAGCCTGCCCAAAGTCTCACGCAGGATGAAACCACAGAGTAGCTCCACCCCCTCCCTCCATGCCCATGTGCTCCCAAGTTAGCCTTTGTTGAGAACAGTCAGAGCACAGACGAAGCATGGGCTCCAGCTGAGTGGCCGGGGTCTGGAAGAGTTACGTCAGCTCACGCTGACCAAGCTGGTTCTCCGGCCAGTGAACAGGGTGTGGGTGGGTGCTTATGTCAGCAGCCCAGGGTCACGTGGCAGGGACGCCGAGGGTGGAGCTGCTGGCCTGCTGCTGTGGTTTGGCACGACAACCTGGCCTCCGCCTTGGCGGTGATGCTTCTCCCACCCCAGAGATCAAGTCCCCACCGTCTCCTTTACCTCCCTCGCAGCTCACATTTACCAAGCCTCACTTTGGACCTGACTCTGGTGGCTCCTACAGGCATGGCAGAGTCTGTGTGAGGACATCACACCATGTCCTGGAGCCCTCCCCACCTTCCAAGAGGAAGCTGCTTGTGGCCCGAGGCCAGGCCAGCTGCTGTGACAAACCCTCCTCTCGGGCCTGGCATACACAGCTTTCCTCTCTGGGCACTTTACTTACCTAGAATCACCAGGGTTTTTTGTTTGTTTTTGACAGCAAGGTGGATGGACTGGGATGGTATATGTACATACTAAATATGTGGATGTCAAATAGGCAAGAAGAAGGGGAGAAAAATTGGGTAAAGACTGCCTGGAACAATCTTATTGCAGTGATGAAAATGTTCTCAAACTGATTTATAGTCATAGTTGCACCATTTGGGAAATTTACTCAAAACCATTGAATTGTACACTTCAAATGGGTAGATGTTATGATATTCAAAATACACCATAATAAGGCTTTAAAAAAAAAAAAAAAAAAGAATGCCTGGACCTATTTGGATTCTTCTGAGGGGACTCCACAGAGTGAAAGCTCTGTGCAAAAGTGAGGCTGGGATGCATCAAAAGATCCAGGACGGCATGCTGAACAAGAACACAGACTTTGCTCATAGTGCGTGGTTAACTCCAGCAAGTTCTTATCCCTTTTGTGCCTTAGCTTCTTTATCTATAAAAAATGGATTTAGTAATACCTACCTCCTTGGATAGTTGTGATAATTAAAGGAGGCTGTAAAGCATCTGTCACAACGCTAGCTGGTAGTAAATCTAGTCACTGTTGTTATTCCTAATTGTGTCCTTTAAGACCATCCCTGATAGCAGGGCTCTGCCCAGACCTGGAGCCAAAAAGCTCTGAGGTGCTAGAATTATAGCTCCAGGAAGAAAGGTGAGGGGCTGCATGAAAATGGCCCAGGGAAACCAAAGGCCACCCAGCACCACGATGTCACCTACCAAGCTTCACTTTCTTCCTTCTCTCATCAAGTTTCTGGGTCCTCTCTGCTGCCTGCTTCTTGGCTTTCCTGACCTTGTCATAGGCAGCCTGGCAGGAGAAAGGAACACGGAGGAGCAGTCAGCTTGAGGACAAGCCTGGAACCCAGCCATGTAGCCCGAGAACCGTCAGGAAGCAGCCTAGTGACCAGGACTCAGGCTGGGGCAGCAAGGACTGTGCCGCAGGGCAGAGTATAGGGGACTGAGGCCGAGGGGCCACAGTGGTGTCTAACCATAGGGACAATCGGATAGAGGAGGATGAGCTTACCCTGGCTGCAGCATCGGTCAGTACCTCCAAGGCCTGAGAAAGCTGGTGGAAGAGCTCAGCTAAAAATATGGATCAAGAAAGAGAGAGGACAAAAATGAAGTCATGGGCGCCTGGGTGGCTCAGTCAGTTAAGCATCTGCCTTCAGCTCAGGTCATGATCCCAGGGACCTGGGATCAAGCATCAGGCTCCCTGCTCCGCGGGGAGTCTGCTTCTCGCTCCCCCTCTGCCCCTTCTCCTGCTCATGCTCTCTCTTTCGCTCACTCTCTCTCAAATAAACAAATATAATCTTAAAAAAAAAAAAAAGAATAATGAAGTTGGGCTTGATGACGGTGTGCTCCCTCAGAAAAGCACCTCAAAGAAGCCACGGGCTGGCAGGAAGGCCGACATCAGCAGATGATGGACCAGCAAAGGAATGGGGGTGTACAGGCAACTGACCAGATGCCCCTCACATGCAAAGTGCAGGTTTGGGGCTGCGCACCCAAAGCCAGGCTGCCTGTGCGTGCCAGCACTCCCCAGCACGCACACGGGAGCGGAGATGGGGAAGACACCACGTCCACGTGAGCAGGTCTCACCTTCCCACACCCGGAGAGTCTCACCTGCTCTAGGATTATCCGGATTTTTGTCTGGGTGGCAGGAGAGGGCCTTCTGCCTATATGCCTTCTTCACCTGGAAGAGCCAGAAGATGTGGTTATTCACTCTCTCACCCCAGGACAGAGAGGAAAATCTCACTAACGAGATAAAGGGAATCCAGGGAGTGCTCCCCCGCGCTAAAAGAGAGGCTGCTGGCTCCTACGCAGAAACAGTCACCTCACAACCTCTGAGGAGTTTTGCAGGGGAGGAGGCAAAAGCCATGGAGGGAGCTGACTGCTGTCCTGCAGCAGGGAAGCTGGGCCTACTTCCTGCTGAGCACCAGTCTCACCACAGACGATGTAGAAGGGCTCCTGGCAGGGGCAGGTTTCTTTACAGCCACCTGGAAACAGGCACTCACGTGCTCTTGGTGGGCATGTAAACTGGGGCACCCTTTCCGGAAGAAGATTTAGCCATACAAGTTTTAAAATGTATTTGCCCTCTGATCACTCCTAGGAATTTGGACTTGTAGAAGTATCCCAAAGCAAACATACAATGATGTCCACTGCACCACTGTGTGTTTATTTTTTTTTTTTTAAAGTAGGCTCCCGCCCAGCATGGAGCTGAGTACGGGGCTCGAACTCATAACCCTGAGATCAAAACCTGGACTGAAGAGTCAGACACTTAACCGACTGAGCCACCCAGGCACCCCTAAAAGATTTTAAGTAATCTCTACACCCAATGTGGTACTCAAACCTACAACCTCGAGATCAACAGTCACATGCTCCACCGACTGAGCCAGCCAGACACCCCTGCAGCAACGTTTATATTAGATCAGCACCCAATGGAACGAACCAAAATCTCCATCAACAAAGAGACCCATTAAAAATACTACGATTGGGATGCCTGGGTGGCTCAGTCGGTTAAGTGGCTGCCTTCAGCTCTGGTCATGATCCCAGGGTCCTGGGATCGAGTCCCACATCAGGCTCCTTGCTCAGCAAGGAACCTGCTTTTCCCTCTGCCTGCCACTCCTGCTGCTTGTACTCTCTCTCTCTCTCTCTCGCAAATCAATAAATAAAATCTTTAAAAAAAATACTATGATAGAAGTCTATATGTGCTGACTAGAAAGATCTTCAAGTCATCATCTCAAGCAAAAGAAAAAAAAATTTAACTCTGTATGATGACAGATGTTAACTAGATTTTTTTGTAGTGATGGTTTTGAATATATACAAATACCAAATCATTGTTATACCCCTGAAACTAATACAATGTTATATGTCAATTATGCCTCAAAAAAAATTTTTTTTCAAGGTACAGTGCATGAAAAAAAAATAAGACTTAGAACAGTATATGTAATATCACTTTAGGATTTAAAATAAATAAAAGAGGGCGCCTGGGTGGCTCAGTCGGTTAAGCGACTGCCTTTGGCTCAGGTCATGATCCTGGAGTCCCAGGATCGAGTCCCGCATCGGGCTCCCTGCTCGGCAGGGAGTCTGCTTCTCCCTCTGACCCTCCTCCCTCTCATGCTCTCTCTATCTCATTCTCTGTGTCTCAAATAAATAAATAAAATCTTTAAAAAATAAATAAATAAATAAATAAATAAATAAAAGAACTATAAATAGAGATATTTGGGCATGTGCATAGCCTTTGGCTTCTTTTTTTTTTTTTTTAGGATTTATTTATTTATTTGAGGGAGAGAGCAGGGGAAAGGGGCAGAGGGAGAGAGAAACTCAAGCAGAACCCAGCCCCCCGCCCCCACCCCCGCACCATAGAGCCAGATGTAGGGCTCGATCTCACGACCCTGAGATCAGACCTGAGCTGAAACCAAGAGTCAGATGCTTAACCGACTACACCACCCACGTGCCTGTTTTCTTTTTTATTAGAAACTTATGAGAAAAAAAGTTTCTTATCATAAGAAACCTAACAGTGGTTTCCTTTAGAGAGAGGCTGAAGATGGAGGGGAGGGAAACATTTACTTCTTATTTAAAAAAATTTTGTTTTGCCTCACATCGGGCTCCCTGCTCAGCAAGGAGCCTGCTTCTCCCTCTCTCTCTGCCACTCCCCTTGCTTGTGCTCTCTCACTCTCTGTCAAATAAATAAATAAAATCTTAAAATAATAATAATAAAAGGTATTTTTAAAAATATTTTTTATTTATTTATTTGACAGAGAGAGAGAGAGCAAGAGAGGGGACACAAGCAGGGGGAGTGGAGAGGGAGAAGCAGGCCTCCCGCTGAGCAGGGAGCCCGATGCAGGGCTCGATCCCAGGACCCTGGGATCACGACCTGAGCCGAAGGCAGACGCCTAACGACTGAGCCACCCAGGCACCCCATAAAAGGTTTTTTTTTTTTAAAGATTTTATTTATTTTTATTTGAGAGAGAGAGAATGAGAGACAGAGAGCACGAGAGGGAAGAGGGCAGAGGGAGAAGCAGACCCCCTGCTGAGCAGGGAGCCCGATGTGGGACTCGATCCCGGGACTCCAGGATCATGACCTGAGCCGAAGGCAGTCACTTAACCAACTGAGCCACCCAGGCGCCCAAAAGGTATTTTTTTAAAGTATCTCTACACCCAGTATAGGGCTTGAACTCACAACCCCGAGATCAAGAGTCGCATGCTCCACCGAGCCAGCCAGGTGCCCCCATTTACTTCTTATTTTATACTTTTCTGTAGTTCAAGTTTTCAAACCTTAAACAGGTCTTATTTTATTATCATTTTTTATTGTCTCTTGGTGGGGAGGTTATGGTCCATCTTAAGTTTTTATCTTGTATCTCTGAATTAAAAAGAAAAACTATTATTTCCTATGTTAGTAAAAATAAACAAATGTAGCCACCAAAATTCTCTATCATCTATTGCGCACTCAGCTGTTTTAAAGACAAGGCAGAGCACAAAATCCCAGAATCGCCTCTGGTTCCTGAGGCCTTGCCCTCACTTCTGCCTGCATACCTTACCTGCCACTCAAACCTGCTGTGAGGAGGAGCCTCTGGACCCAGAACTTTCTCAAGTAGCTAAGCCAACCGGCTTTCTAGGCTTCTCAGAGGAAACCAATAAATACTTCTACCCAAAGCTGCTAAGTAAGGACTTTCAGAGGCAAGCAGCCAGCACCAAGGGCGGACGTGTGGACAGGCGCCTCACTCCACTACCACCTCCAGGCCCAAGGAGGGTGGGCAGCCACCTTGCCCAGGACCTCTAGGGTGTGCTGCCACCTGCTGGGCTGCAGCGGGCACTACATCTTCACCAGCCTGGGCGACCAGCCCATCAGGCTCTCGGGGCGCTGGTGGCTCAGCCCAGGAGACAGAATCCACTCCAGGACAGGCCTTGAGCAGCCAGAGTGTAGATGTGCCTTCCTACACTCCCACCTTCCCAATCAGCTACCTGTGTTCACCTGGCCCACCTGCTTGCCTCCCCAACCCAATCTAGCTTTTCACCATTAAAAAATAACATCCAGCTCTGGTTTCACTATTAAAAAATTAATAAGAGAAGAGGTAATAGTTTTATATACACTTTGCAACTGAAACATCACCTTTACTCTTTCAGCCCTTTATCAATCATTTTTTTCTCCTTCTTTCTTTTGCCTCCTACCTGTGCCCCTGGCTTCCTTTCTTTTTCATTTAAAACTAAGCCTTTATTATATTTCTTTATATATTAGGGTCCTTTATTTGTTGTTTTTCTTCAATAAGAAAACAATACTGATGTTCTTTCCCCAGTTCCCCAACTCTCTCTTCAAGGTTCGAGCATTAACTGGATGGTGGGTAGTCTTTTAAACCTTCCTCCTTGATAATACCAGCAAATAGGGCTCTTTTGAATTTTGTTTCTGCCTCTCTCCCACTCCTCTCTCTTTGGTGAAAAAAAGGCAGGGAGAAGAGGGTGTCTGTCACCTCAACGTGAAAGCTGCCTGCCCTCAGAATGGACTTCTTCAGGACCAGGATGAGGGCTGTGGCCTACTGATGTCAGGGCTTTTGAGGAACAGTTTCTTTTGTATCATGGGATTACTTAAAAGTATTATATGTTCACTTTTGTAAATCTGAAAGAAAGGGAGAAAGGGGGCAAGATGGACCGGTAAAAAAGCAAGACAGAAGGAGCATGGCGGGGGGACGCCTGGGTGGCTCACGTCTGCCTTCGGCTCAGGTCAGGATCCCAGGGTCCTAGGATTGAGCCCTGCATCAGGCTCCCTGCTCAGCGGGAAGCCTGCTTCTCCCTCTCCCTCTGTCCTCCAGCTTGTGCTGTCTCTCTCACTCTCTATCTCAAATAAATAAATAAAATCTTTAAAAGAAAGAGTAAAGGAGAGAGAGAGAGAGCACAAGCAGGGGGAGCAGCCGGCAGAGGGGGAGGGAGGCTCCCCGCAGAGCAGGGAGCCCAATGCAGGACTCGATCCCAGGCCCCTGGGACCATGACCTGAGCCAAAGACAGACGCTTAACCAACTGAGCCACCCAGGTGCCCCTCTTTTTTTTTTTTTTTCTTTTTTGAGAGAATGCTTTATGGACTTTATTCTAAAGGAATAATATTAAAGTATATTGTGTGTTTTATAATTCATTTTGGATGTTCTATATCAGAAAACTGGTTTTTGTTTTTGTTTTGTTTTGCGACACACACCTTAGAGTCCAGGTGCTTGTGGGACCTGAGTTGTGTTTAAGTATTTATTTAAAAAAAATCATGTCTCTGGGTTAGCCTGGTGATGGGTATTGAGGAGGGCACGTTCTGCATGGAGCACTGGGTGTTATGCACAAACAATGAATCATGGAACACTTCATCTAAAACTAATGATGTAATGTATGAGGATTAACATAATAAAAAATTCTAAAAAAATTTTAAAAATCATGTCTCCATTTGTACTTAAGCACTATTCTCTTGTGCACAGGTGAATATTTGCAATTATGTTTCATGTTGGGCATGACCAACTGCTGCAAAACCATAAAAAAGGGGACACAGAAACAAACAAAAAAGAAAACTGTTTTTGTTTTACTTACATAGGGAAACAAATTGCTCAAACTGAAAAAAATTAATTATGTAATAATGGGAAATTATATATATCAGTTTGCTTCCTTATCAATTCTCTTTCCAGAATGTGTTCCTTGGACAAATGTCTATTAACAGTCTCATCA